GGACAACTTAGGCTGCAACTATAAAAACCATTGGACTCATGATGAACCAATTAATTGTTAGTATAAAAAAGACTAGTTGCGGTTTTGCAAAACCATTCTTTAATATACTACATTTAATGTCGTGGTGACGTAAAATGTCATGAATTCTAAATGACAGTTAATATAGCAACTTAAGCAAGTAAGACATAGATAGGGTAAAATAAATAAGCAATATTAACAAATAGTAAAAAATGAGTCAAGTCATTATGATTAGAACTTAATTAAAACACAACAGAGTCACCATTTCTGTTTTATGTTTAAAAAGAAATATTAGACTTATTTTATAAAAAATGATTTAACTTAATTTTCAAAGAAAAACCAATTTTATAAAAGAGAGCCACCGCCTATTTTTTTTTACAAAATTAAGAAAACTTATGATTTTTCAAAAGACTTTAACACAGAGAAAATCATTTGAAAATACCTAATGGATTCAGGGTTCAATTTACACTTCGAGAATGGTTTAAGCATTCGAAGTGTCTGCAAACGTGCGGTTGACCTATGACTTGACCAAAACATTTTGACTAATTTTGAAAATTAATAAAGTAAAGAAAACTCATTTTTATTATTATTTGAAGGAAATAGACTTAAAATAATTTTTAAGAAAATGATTTTTTATATTGACAAATAATATAAATAAAATAAGTAATAAATAAAACACAAATATTTCAATCAAACATAAAAGAAGAAATGACTATCTGTTGGGAATTTAATTAAATTAAACCAAAACAAATAAAATGTTAGAGTTAATACAATAAACAAATAATAATAAGAGAAGAAGTAAAGTCAAATTTTGGGCTTTCGGCCCAACCTGTCCTAACACTAAAAATGGGCTAATCGCATAAAATGGGCCTCAACCCTCCTCCATTGAAAGGAATGGGCTTCTGCCCATTTTCATTTTGGAAAATCCATGTATACATTGAACGTATACTATTGTATACAGGTCATATTTTTGTCATTTTTCCTGTATATTAAAGGTATACAACCTATTTCAGCTTCCGAATACTTGTAATTCAGTTTTAGGTTTGTATTTCGACGCCTTGACTTGTATATCGGTGTATATAGCTGTAAATCAGCTTCCCTTTTGTTTCCACTTCTTGATCTGTTTCAAAGCAGACTCGAGGAAAACAATAATTACGCCATCACAGCCCCAAAAATTAGAAATGCAGTGGGGTGAGAGTCCAATGAACTCGGGATGACATTTGTAGCAAAATAAAAGGAATTAAGTTAGCAAAACGAAGAGCATATCACCTTTAAGTTTCTAAATCCAATTAATTTACAAGAAATAGTAAACTTACACGGTCTTATCTAATCACGATCATACTGACAATTAACTAAACAACTCAAGTTATAAAAATGAGGACTTAAAAGCTAAACAAACCAACAATCCTTGTAACTAAACACTAAACTAATCATTTGAAAATTTAGAAAATGAACGAAAATTAAGAACAAACAAAAACCATAGACTAAGAATCATTAAACTAATTATAGTCACATGTACACTAACAAGGAGAGGTCTGTACCAGTGATGATATTAAAACCAAAAGAAAAAAAATGCATTTAACACTATACATCACTTAGATTACCAAAAAGAAGGACTAAACAAATCATTCAAATGACAAAACTTAAAATAAGTAATTATAGCATAGGCAAGCATCTAATCCAAACACACGATTCCTCAAATAAAGAAAGTAACAACTAACTTCTAGAATTGTCTCTCACTAAAACTTGAAAAACCAACTAACCAAACAACCTTATATTAATTTTAGCAACATGAAATAGAGATAAAAGACTTTGATGCTGAAAACAGAGCAAAGCAAGCATATCATATTGCTTTTAAAAGAAAGGGCTAACATTTGATGAACAAAATATACCCTACTGCCATGGAGGAACAACAATGATCACATGCATTCCTTTAGGATAACAAACATACCTTTAGGTGCTTCAAACAATTCTAGCAAATAATCAAGATAAGAACATAAAGATGAAGAATAACAAAATCAGCAAGCTTGAACATAGAAAACAGCGAGATGACAAAACTAAAACCAACAATAAAAGTATTTGAATCAGCGATCAATCCACATAAAAAATTACACATGAATTTATAAGAAACTCTGCACAATAGACAACTTAAACGCCTTACACAGAAACAGATTCGAGCAGTCGAATATAACAAATAGTTACATTTTAGTTCATACGAAAATTAAAATTAAAGAGATTGTTACCTTCTTCGGAGCACCAAACTTGAACTCGAGCTGCTGGAGACGATTCCACCACCAACGAGTTCCTAGAATTCCAACAAAAACTTTCAAAGTAAACGAAGTTAAAATCCAATGAAACTGTAACTCAAACTTTCATGGTTCTCGAAAATGTAGAGCATTTTGATTTTCTGATGTTATTTCATGAAATTTTATCGTGAAAAATATTGTAAAGGAAACTTTATTTTTTTGGTTTAGAATTATCCCCCCCTTAACAGTGACTGAAAGAGAGAATATATAGAAGAAGATTTAGCGCTAGAAATTGGGGAGAAACAAGAGAAATTTTTAGAGAAAAAATTGAATTCAAAATATAATTTTTCTTAAGGATAAGGAATATACCAAGATGATTTTTGAATTCTTGAACGAATTTGAACAGGAAGACGAGTTGAACTGTCGATTTAAGAGCAAGGACGCTTGAGGTGCGAGATTTTGACACCTAGATTATTCTCCAACGTTCTTGTACGAAAGGAAAAGGAAAAGGGAGAGGGAAGCGCGCGAGGTCAGGGTTTGGGTTCGCTGTGTTTCTGTGTTGTACGTACGGTATTGCTAGGTTTTGGTTTCTGGATTCCCTGGTCACGATTTCTAGCTGGGTTTGGGTTTTTGTGTTTCGATCAAAGGAAGAAGAAGAGTATAGTTCGGGTCTGGTACTGCATTTTCTGGGTTGTACGTATGATTTTGTTGTCATATTGAGGTGGGTCATTTGGCATTGGTTGGGCCGGTTTCATTGAAATGGAAAGTAATGGGCTGATATTGAAATAATTGGGTTGTTGATGGTTGGGTTTCTGGTTAAAGAATTGAAGGTTAAAAGGGGTTAAAATGTGAAATAGAAGCGGCTAAACTTGTAATTAGAGAGATGACCATATGGATTTCAAGTACAGCCAATTGAAGTTAAAGAACACAACCAAATTGAATTCATTTATTAAATTCGGCTAGTAAATAAGTAAGGCGAATTAATATAAGTAACTAAAGAACTTCTTAATCTTAACGAAAATAAAATAGTTAACTTAATTATAAACTAATAACTCAAAAATATAAGTATTAATTAACTAAATCTATTAACCAACTATTTAAGTAAACTAAATCTTTTTGAGACAATTTTAGAATATTCAAGAAACGTAGTAATTATATACATAATTTTATAAAAATATTATTTTAATTTTTTTTATTTGAAATGACAAAATTATTTTTAAAATAACTTGAAAAATATTTTTTAATTTTATAAAACTAACTATTTCAAATTGTTTGAAATTGAAGAAGCTTTATAATTAATATACATTGTAGAGGGTCAAAATTGGGTATAAACAATTTTAATAAAAGACCATTCAGTTTTGTCAAAAACTTATTCTAAGTTTAGTTTAATAATCATATTAGCATTTTTCTCCTTCATTTTATAAAGTGTGAGATAATTTCTTGAACAGTGATTGCATTATTTGTAGCCTGTTTGTTCCTTGATAAAGACGTATAAGTTTATTCATAATCGGTCTAAAATGCTGAGAGATAATTTTGATAATGATTTTATAAGTTGTGTTACATTTCCCTAGTCTATAAGGCAACAAGGATAGGACGATCACTATTATTATCTATTGTACCAAAATTTGTGGATGGTACTTTTTATTGGGTCCATCTATTAATATATATGTATTTTTAAAGAAAATTATGAGTAGTGATTCTGTTCATTTTCTTTGCCCAATAGTTTTCTTTAAAAAAATTTCAAATTTGATCATTGATGATGGCAAAAATTACAGCTTTGAGTTTGGCATCCCAAACTTTTACATGATCAAAGTGTAGAGGTACTATAGACAAGCTCTACTAATATGTAACACCAAAAAAAAGTCCAAGTTATTGTGGAGTTTAACTGGACTTGATATGTTGTGCTTAAGGTATGGAGGCTCGTAGACCAGATAAGAAGGCTTTACTGGTTTCATTCGAAAAGATGGGAACTCCCACCTATCCATGTTGATAAGACCCCTAACCTGCTTAGGGAGAGAGGAGAAGGAGTTGAAGACATGGATATCATATGCGCCATGGCTAAGAGATGCAAGTTTGTCGGCAGGTTAATTTGCTTCTCTAAAGCAATGACTTATGTGGTATCCATGATCTTCAATTATTTTCATAATTTCTTGGATCATATCTTTGATTCTCCAGGGGGTCTCCATTCTTTATTGGAGTAATTTACCAGGAGCAAAGAATCAGTTTCCCCCTAGACATTTGTGAGACCTTTATCCGCACACCAATTAAGGCCATATAGTAAGGCCGCTGCTTCAGCCATGTTGCTTGTGCTAGGCCCTAGATTGATCGAGTAGGCAAAGATAGTATGACCAAAAGAGTCTCGAATTAGTCCTCCTCCTCTGCAAGAACCTTGAAGGCAGCTACCATCACGTATTGAGTTTAAAAGTCATGGAAGGAGGTTTAATCCATTTAACGGGATTGCTGATATGTTGGTGAATATTGGCATTAAAAATGTTGGAAAGACTTCGCCACGTATCCCCTATATTTGCTTTTCCAAACTTCCTCCTCGTGATATGCAAAAGAGTGAATAAGATATTAACAATAGTTTTGTAAGGAGAGGGTTTAACTTTCTCAAATTTGTTAGCACATCTCGTCTTCCAAATTTCCCAACAAATTATAGGGGGGGGGGGGGCTTGGATAATGAAGGACGCTACGGGGTTGTTGGTATGAGTGTTCCACCAGTTAAGTAAAAGAAGTTTAAGAGAATTCTAGATCAGTCTCACACCCAAAGAATTCGCAATACTTCGCCAAATATTTTTTGCGAGGTTCCCTTTGCAAAAAAGATGATCGGCAATTTCCTGTGAGTTGTTCAGGGATATTCACACAACAGTAGCATCCAGGCTCAATGTTGATGCCAAGTTTTTCCACTTGATCATCCGTTGAGAGTCTATTATAAATAGCTCTCCAAGTAAGGAAACACATCTTAAAGGGGATGGCACAATTCCAAATCTTACTAGTAGCAATGTTGGAAGATCTTTTATTTCTTATAATATTCCAAGCTGAGTGAAAAGTGAAGAGGCCATTATTAGACTCCCTCCAAATTGTTGTATCATCCACATTGTTGTCTCGAGAAACTCCCAAGCTCGTAATCTTATTTTTTACATCTTCAGAAAGATCTCCCTGAATAGAGTTCCAATTCCAGACACTATTGTTATAAACTGTGTTAAGCTTGATCAAAATATTTCCTTCAATATCGGGTTGAAGTAAGTAAAGAGGTCCTAAGCTTGACCAATTGTCAAACCAAAAATCTATCTCTCCTCTACCAATTTTCCAGGAAATGTGATTCTCCATATCTGATCTGGCTTCACACATAGCTTTCCAACCTTGTGAGTTTCCCGAGATCCATTTAGGTTTCACGGGGTGGTGGGTATGCAAGTATTTGGATTTCATGTAATCTCCCAAAAGAGATGTGGTGGTTCTTAAGTTCCACCACTGTTTTGACTAAAAGGCTCGACAAATGTCCGAGATTTTCCTGAAGTTAGCTCCACCTTCATTATAAGGGTAGTTCAAGGTATCCCAAGCAATCCAATGATGTTTACCACCAGCTTCATTTCCAGACCAAAAAGACCTAGCAATGATTTTCTCAATAAGTTCAAGTGTGCCCTTTGGACGGTTAATAGCGCTCAGGATATGAGTAGGGATGGCCATGAGAACATGTCTAATAAGAGTAGCTCTTCCACTGGTAGAAAGAAACTTGGTATGCCGTCCTTTAACTTTGCTAGTTACTTTATTGACAATGTCAGAGTAATACGCTAGTTTCTTTTTACCAGTGATCAGAGGGCATCCCAGGTATCTGATGGGGAATTTTTGAAATCTCATGCCAATGTATCTTTTTGTTCTGTTAACGATAGAGAGGCTGACTTTGGAGCTTATTGTGCATCTTCATCTTTACGAAAGGCCTCGCGATCTCCGCTGAAGTTATAGCCATACTCCGTATTCACTACCTCTTTTTTTCCATCGTTCTTTTCCTCTTTTATTTCCTTTGAGTTTCTACTTTTTAACTAGATTCTTCCACCTTCTTTCAATTGTTCATATTTTTGGGTCTTTTTCTATTATTATCATAAGTTTTTTCTGAGAATACCAATGGTATTTGATGGCCACCAGTATCTCTGATTTTACTTTTTGATTTTGATTTTGGTCATATGTCCCCAGTCAATTTTTTGACTGAATTGCTTTTTCATTCAATTTTGCTGATCTATTTGGCCTTTGTGTTGTGGTAATATTGCATGCGCTTGATATAGAATTAATTGAAAGTTTTCTTCTGATTCTTTAGCACCTCATATAGGTCTTCCCTATTTATCGATTTGTATTTTTTTTAACTTCTGGTTATTGAGATTTAGTGTTCCATTCCCTTTGTTCTTGATGTGAGTGTCTTTTTAATTTATTAATTTCTTATGTGCAGAGCTTTGCATTTACTTCAAGGAGAAAGCATAGAATTGCAAACATGAAATGTGGGGTTGGAGCATAGAAACTTCATAATTAAAAATCAATTCATTGGGTAAGTTCATATTTTCCTAGTCTCAGAGGTGAACCCACACCCTCGAAGGGTGGGCACCTGCACCCACCAACTTTGTAAATAATCATATGTATATATGTATATTTATTTAGAAAACTGGCAGAAACTAGAATATAGTTAACATTGCACCCATGAAAAGCATTAGAGTGCCTTTGTGTTGTTGGTATAAGCTAGAGAAACCACTCCTGATACCAGGGTTCAAATCCAGCTAATTGGTGCAATTGAAGTGATAGCATCCATGTCAGCCTACTTGTACTAAAGTTGATGGGATTCAATCAAAAATCAAGAATATGCTTATCACGAAAGAGGTGTCCAAATTCAAGCCCAAAATAAAGAAGATTAGGCCACACGAAGCCCAATAAAAAAGTCCATAAAACTGAACGCTTAAAGTCAAAATTTGCTAATTTAAAAGTTTTCTCGTTTAGATTTTTCCTAGTTTAAAAAGTTTCCTAGTTTAAAGTTTTTTAGTTTAAAGTTTCCTTGTTTAAAGTTTTCGTAGTTTAAAGTTTCCTAGTTTAAAAGTTTTCTAGTTTAAAATTTCCTAGTTATTATTTCCATAAAAGTAAGATTTGAATCCCATTCTATTTGGGATAGGTTTTTCCTATATATAGGGTTTGTTTTTATTATTTTAAGAACATACATGATTAATATTATATGAGAGGTTTCTTTTCTTTACACCTTTGTGTGTGGTGACTATGGATTTATCTTACAACCTTATAAGAATAATTCTCTAAGAGGTAAAATTAATTTTTAATTTGATATCTTTGGTTTCTATTCGTAAATTAAAGAAGGTGATTATTCTTATACTAATTGTTGTCTCTAATTTCTTCAGAATAGGGGTCTAGATCATTTTTGAAATAAATTCTTGAATTGAATCTATTAGTATCATAATTAGTCTTAATCCATAATTTTTGAATACTAAGATCAATTAGAGTTCTTAACATTTTATCTTGAAATTGGAGATTTTATTCTTGAAGTTCACATATCTATCAATTTCTGTCTTTAATCTTTATAATTTCGCATCCGCATTATTTTCTTGTTTATTCTGATAACTCGATTCTTATCAAGTGGTATCAAAGAGATTCTATTAAAATTCCGTTCTTGATAATCTTGGGAGGTTAAAAAAAATCTTTGTTGTAGTTGCTTAAAAGTTAATCTACATAGCAAAAAAAAGAGAGAAAAAATTAGAAAAAAAGGAAAAAAGGAGGAAAAAATTCAATTAACTGGATTTAAAGTATTTCAAGAGATTTCAGATTTGTTTTGAATCTTGATTTCTATCTCAAAGAGGAAAATCAAGAACATGGGAATTTTGAAGTTTTTTTCTTGTTTCACAAAGTGGTCTTTTTTTTTGTCTCACCAATCCCAATTTATTTGGGTATTGATAAATTCCTTTCTTTCTAGATCTTACTTCTAAAATGTTGTTACTAATAGAGTTTATATATAAATCTCGAAGGACCCATCCAAAGATAGTAATTTGACTGGGAAAAGGCAAGAAAGAGTCAGATCAATAGAGAGAAGAAAAAGTAAAATTGAGAGATTTTTATTTCTTTAATATTATTCTTTAGATGTCTCAAATAGGTAAGGAAACTAAAGCTAGAACTTATCAAAATGACACTAACTTTGCTGAAGTTCCAATCACACGATTGGAGAATATGAGTATCACCTTTGATGAATTGAGGAGAAAAAATAGTTTTCATACAAGGTGTGGGATAAAGGGTAATATTTTCTCCATGATTATTGATTGTTGAAGTGGTGTTAATGTAGTAAGTTTATACATGATGGAGAAGTTGAAATATACATATATCAACCATACTACTCCTTATAAACGACAATGGATGAATAATTTTGATGATTTTATGGTGACTAAGCAATGCATGATTTCTTTGTCTATTGGGAGGTATTCTGATAATGTTCTTTGTGATGTAATTCCAATGCAAGATTGTCATATCATGCTTGGGAGTCCATGGCAATTTAGTAGGAATGCAATTCATGATAAGAGAAAGAATAGAGTTTCTCTTGAGCTTAACAAAAGAAAATATATACTTGTACCTTTAGTCTCGTCTCAAATTTATGAAGATAAAAAACATGTGAAAGAAGCTATGAAATAATTTGAGAGAGAAAATAACGAGAGGAGTAGGGGAGTGCATGTTGACATCCCAAGAGATGAAAAAGGAGACAATATGTTGTGTGAAGAGAATAGGATATCAAGTGAGAAAAAGAGTAAGATCGAGAGAAAAAAAAAGAGAGAGATGGTCATGAGCATAAAAACAAGAGGGATAATGGTAAGGTAGAGAGAGAAAAACAAGAGAGTTTGAGTGGAGTTATTTCTTATTCTAACTCTAACATTACTACTTGTGCTCCTAATTGTTTTGACTCTCTCATAGGTACCTATGGGAAAGTTTGCAATGAAAAATCATCATTGGATAAACTTAATCCTAAGGTGATTGAGACTACATGTCCCATTGAACAAGTGTATGTTGATGAGAACGATAAAGGTAAAGAGAATTATTTTGGATTTGTCCAAGATAAGGCGCATAACAAAAAGTTCAATAAGGAGGTTGCGGATCTAACACCAATGAGAAAGGAAAAACGAGGTGATGTTATTCCTTTGCTACATAAGACCAAGTATGATATGTATAATTGATTTATTCACATTCTTGGTATTCCTAAAACACCTAAAGTTTTCTTGGTGGTAATGAACTGCACTTTTAATTCTTATGTTGGTGACTTCATTAATTTTGAGAATGATGATATTTTGATGTATAATAAGCCACTAACTTCGATCAAAGAGTTCTATAAGAGTAATATGGGCTCTTTTAAAGTTGAGCGTGACATAATTGATTGTGGATTTTCACTTGTTGAAAAGAGGTGTGATGTTTGTGCGAGAAAGATTGTGAATGAGTTAGTTGATTCTTCTATTGTTCTAGTGTTGAATTGAGTTTTGTGTGATAATTTGTTGGCATATGATAATTTCTATGGGATGAGACATAATTCTTTAGGTCCTAATGAGTGTGAGCTTAATAAGGTATTTTCTACTAAGGAGGAGGAGGTACCCGACTATGAGCACTTTAATATTTATGCGAAAATCTTGTACATAGAATAAAGTACCAGTGACGGCGACTTTCTAGGTTTATGGATTCAGTCAGCTAAACTCCATCAAACTCCTCAATCTGGTGAGTGGTATGATTGAGGATGCTTGGATATATCCTAAAAGTGTCCAATTTGATGCATGTTTTAGGGATCTTGTATCCTCTTTTTTCATGTCCATTGAAGTACTTTATTGATAGAACTAAATTAAAGCTGCATGTATCATTCTCAATGGCATCTAGACAAGGATTTCGTTGTATTAATATAAGGAAGATAATTTTCTATTGGGATGATGATGTTCACATACTTTGTACGGGTGTATTTATACATGTCAGGATTAGTTGAGTTAAGTGGACACATGGTCACTATCTTGTTTTGTTCCTACCATTGTTGCTTTCGAGTAATGAATGTTGTTTGCTAACACATGTCTTCTTGATTTTGAGAGATTTAAATTTGAGGACGAATTGTTTTCAACAAGAGGGGAAAGATAGCATCCATGTCAGCCTACTTGTATTAGAGTTACTGGACTTTCATGAAAAATCAAGAATATGTTTATTACGAAAGAGGTGTCCAAATTCAATCCCAAAAAAAAGAAGATTGGGCCACACGAAGCCCAATAAAAGAGTCCAAAAAGTTGAACGCTTAAAGTCAAAATTTCCTTAATTTAAAAGTTTCCTAGTTTAAAGTTTTCCTAGTTTAAAAAGTTTCA